CTCATATCTTGTGGTAACTTGGGAGATGTCACTTTCGGTATGGGCACTATAGTAGATCTTTTCCAAGATATAGGTACAAAACCTGTTCTTAAAGACAAATTAATTATTTTCAGCAAATTTAAACTAATGACTGGGTAGATTTTTTTAAATATTGGTACATTCATATCTTCACACATACTTTTTTTGTCTTTTAAATTAATTACTATATTGTCTAGTTGGTTTTTAGAAATTTCTCTGAATTCATTCATTTCCTTCACATGATGAGGTATTTTTATGTGATCAGCAGCCATGTATTTATTCAACTTTGTTATTGATTTTTCAATATTGATAATACTCTGAATTAGAAATTCATTGTATTTATCAGCAATAGATTTATCACTTGAATCCTCAAACTTGACATCTTCCCAAATATCAAATTGAGCTTTATATTACAAAAGGAGCTTTATCTTATTTAGGGGCTTTATCTTACTTAGGTGTTTTATCTTATTTATTTTAGCTTTATCCAAAATTTAGCTTACAGAAGCTAAATTTTGGATAAAGAAATTACAAATTCCAACAAATGTTTAGATTGTTTTCTAAAATACTCTTGTATAATGTATGATTAAGGGTTTAATATTAACACTAAATGTTCTGAACGTTACATCTACCACACAGTTCCCTCTGGTTGAAAAGGTGCAGCTCAAATGACTTGATAAATGACAATGAAAAATAAAGAGCTAAAAAAAAATAGAAAGAAATAGCTAATTTATTGCATTGATACGCATAAATTTAGCTTTAAACACTACATTAAGTACATTAAAGTACAAAATAAATAGTTGAATTATTTCTTTTTGAGGTACTTTTTTTCACTTGTTTCTTAACATATTATTAAAAATGGATTAGACAGGCTCTTTTTTTTAATAATTATATAAGACGAATGGCACTGGTTAAATAATATTGCTTGATAAACCTTAGTTTCGCTTTGTAAATATCGAACAAATTACTGTTAAAATAACGTTTGTTTATGTTTTTAGTTCCATTTCTGTGCGCTCATAAATTTTATATCGGAACTGTGAAAAGGTGTATTGATGGGGGGTGTCACACCCACTCCCATCGCGCCGGCTTTGCTTATGTGACTTGGCTATAAATATACAAAAGTTTGGAGTTTAGAACCGACGTGGAAATTTATTAATCTCAGACCAAAAATTCCTAGATCCAATGAAAATAACCTGTCTAGGAAAAAAAAAACCTGTCTAGGGAAAAAAACAGTGTCTGAGAGCATCTAAAAGTCTAAAAAACTGATTATAACAAAGTGCAGACAAAAAGTTAATATTGAATAATTTAATAATTAAAGGAATTTTGTGAAAATAAAACAAGATAATGGTAGTTTGACATTTTAAATTTTATGAATTTCGCTCGAAATGCTGTACAGCTATTGTTTCTTCAGATGCCTATTAAATTTCTGTATGTGATATTCACATTACAAGTAGCCTCTTTACGGTGGGCTATAAACATCTGATTCTAAGAATTGTTGGCAATATTGAATCTAAGGAACTGCTTTATTCTTTCGAAAGATATTCAGCTGCAAAATGCTAAAGGCTTATCTTGAAAATTGCTTTGAAATAGCATTATCTTTGCATCAGATAATGCTATAACTTTTAAGCATTGTGATACATGCATAATTTTGTAATTCTTACAATTGGCAGCAGAGGACTTCCTTGATGAGTTAATTTCATAAGTGCTGGTTTTATCGAAGCATATATACATTGTTTTTTTCTTTGCAAAAAGCCAAGATAACTATTTTTTATTTTTAAAAATGATATAAAGTTAAGTTGATAATTTTGATGGATTTTTGAAAGCTATTTCTTTATTTTGCAAAATACTGTTATAAATTTTTTCAAAGTAACTTTGTTAATAATTACCAATTTGATAACATACTGTAAAATGAATCTTATTGTTATCAGCGTTTGCAAACACCAACTTTTATGTGTTCGCTTATTGAACTTATTGAACTTAAAAATCATTTTTTAACTAATTATTTCAATGACAGTTCTAAAAAAAAAAATTTTATAAATGTATTTTTAAACTGACTATGGTGTAAGTACTAAGTGAAATTTCTTGTAACTAGTCATAGAAATTTTTTTCTGCAAACCATTTGGAGAAATGCTAAGTGTTTAATTGTATGTGTCAGTCTTTAATGGCCAATTAATTATTATTATTACTTGATTTTCGGAAGGAAAGTATTTTAGGTTATCGATTTATATGTTATCTATTTGAGATAATTTAAGTTGTCAGTAATGAAGTGGACAGTTTTAAAAGCAATTAAAAGAAATGTCTTAGAAACACATTTGCAGGTGGTAATCAAAGTTTATACGAGTAAAGAAAAGTTTGTGTTATTTGCATTTTAAATGACAATAAAGTAACTTAGACAAACCATCTTTACTAACTCATGTAAGCCTCTAAAAATTTGCTGCATGAATTTATGATGTGAATTGGTGAATCAGTAATGTTTGTAAAATATTTGAAGAACCAGTTTATGTACACATTTTATGCGTTCTTATTGTATGGCTTGGTTATTTAACTGGCTTTCCAGCTAGGACATCTATTAGGCACTGAAGCTGTACAGTATTGTAGTAATTTCAGATTCAATTAATTTTGAAAAGCATCAATATAATTTACCGCCAACTGTTATTTTGGACATTAATTGGAAGTCAGTAGCTATTTTTCTGGTTATCATTTTATTGTTGGTTTTTTTAAATTGAAAAAAAAAAAAAAAAAAAGAAATTCTAAAATAACTGAACCCAATATTAAAATATTAAAAAAAAGTTTTTATGTTAAATATATTGTTTTAGCATAACAAAAAGCTTAGTTTTTGATGATAAATCTTTAGTTTAGAATAAAATTGTATTATTTAAAGGCTTTATAAATTGACCCAATTTTTTTCATCTTTAAAGCCTCTTCATAATTTTTATTGTTTCTAGAAGTGTGAAACAAGTTCTTTCAAATTAATTTAAAAAAATATTTAAAAATATTGCCTATATAGTGTTTTAAGAGTAAACATATCTGACAATTTAAGGTATTTTATTTTGGTGCCATGTTTCAAAATAATTTATCAAACAAATTTAGAAAAGAAATGCTTTGCTCTATATCTTTTTTTTTATCCATTTATTTAATCATAAAATCAAAAATTACAAATTTAAATAGAATTTACAAAATTAGGTTCGGTGTCACTCATATAGTTAAAAAATAGTCAATGGAGTAACACCTTAACAAAATAAAAAAATAAAATAAAAAAATATTAAAACAAGGTAATAACAAAGAAAATAAACTACATCAGAAAACTACATCAATTTGTTGCCATTTAAAATCTTCATACATAATAAAATTGCTTATAACTAATATTTATGAAGACATGCCCCTATATAAATCTGATAAAAATTTAAAGTGCCAGATTTTTGATGTCTTTGGCAGTATGAATTCCTAATTTAATAATTTTTTGTAATCCATCCTCTCATTTTGTTTTGATCTTAATATGTTTAAAATATCAAACAGTCGAGTGCAAGAGCAACTAACTCTTCAGAGTTTAATTTGTCTCTTTGAATGAATAAAATATCTATGTTAGTAATTGAATAAATAAAAACATTAAACCAGTTTAAAATTTTGTAGTTTTTGTTATCTGGAAATTAAAAAATGTATATTATTTTGATATGTTTTTAAATTTAAAAGATATTTTGGACATTTTAGTAATTGTGTCATTTAGCTTAGACAGATTAGTTTTAAAAATTCAAAACTTTAATTCAGCACCAAACATGTAAAAATAAATTTTTTATCTGTGTTCTCCTCCATAAAAGTCGGACACCTGGCAACCCTACCCATAAACTAGTTATGAGTTTTTCAAACTTTCTAAAAGTGAACAATCTTAGTTCATTAAAAGACTGTTTTTTAGCAAGAATACATCATTTTTTCAGTAGTAGAGTATCTCAATCAGATTATTCAAGTGAAATTTTTTTACCTTTTTTCATGGACTTGGATTTTTAGCAGGGATTTCCTAGTTTATCTTTAATTTTTACAGTTTCTGGTAAAATGTAAAGGTTTTTGTAAGCCTCTACATTTACTTATAAATACTTTAAGATACATTGATTTCTCTATCTATTTTTGAGATTCAACATAGTATACTTCAAATAGGAAAAAAAAATTTCTACATTTAGTATCATGTTGCAATCTTTGTACTTGAGGTGACCCCTAAATCTAATTACATTATGGAAAAATTAAAAAGAGTTGCTTGGTATAACCAATAGAAAGTTTTAAGAATATTTATTAAGAATAAATTGATTTTCAGCTGCAAATTGTTGTATTTTATTGTCTTAAAAAACAGTAGGTTTAAAACTTAACAAGCATATACAGGGAAATATATTGGCAGTTGGTTGTGCTGCTCATGTAGTTCATAATATAAGAATATGTTGAAAATATTTAATTAACTCAATATATTTACAGTTCATGAAATAAATTATTATTATATAAGTTTTTTATAATAACTAATTGCCTGCCATTAAAATAATTATTTCACATTTAACTTATTTATTCTTTAAACCTTAATTTTGATTTTGAAAAAAAAAATTAAAAAAAATTTTATTAAAATTTAACACTAATGATCATTTATATTGGTTTCGAATTGTTTTTGAAAAAGCCATCACGATAGCAAAATGAATCTTTTTTTTTTAAAAAGATTCATTTTGCTTTAAAGATTTAAACAATCGAATATTGCAAAAAAGAGAAACTTATGTAATATCCTTGAATTTATTTCACCACACATTCATAAATACCTGCTTATGAATAAAATATGTTTTTCAAATATCAATAACAAATGCTTTTTATAATTAGATTGTTTTCCAAAATGAGCTATAAAATAAAAATAGATATTTAAAATGTGACATTTTAAATATATAAAATTTACATCAAATTTTTTTAAACAAAGGAATGTGATATATGGATATCACAGTTATTCAATCAATTTCTTTTAGACTGAAACCAATGATGGAAATGATGTTGATGATAAAGCTAAAAAATCCAAAAAAAAGAATATGGATGATCTCAAAAAAGAGCTTGAAATGGTAATTTTGTAATATTTTTAATTATGTAATACAATTTTATATTTTAAAACATTGCTATATTTTAAAAAATTAGAGGTCACACCCGTTCTTGGTTAATAAAAATGATAGTTATCAAAGATTTTTTTACTTTTTACAAAGTTTACTAAATAAAGTTTAAAGACCTTTATTACATCTACAGTTGAGTAGGCCACTTTCTATTTTTTATGTATAACTCTCTCTTAATTCTAAACTTGGATACATCGTCAAACAAGGCCACTCTGCAAAGAAACAGGTACATCTAGAGAGTGATTTTGAACCTTGAACCTCTTGATTGTGTGTCCCATTAGTCTACTCCCATGTTATTTGTTGCTTGCACATGACAAAGTAATACGTTTATAAAATAAATGTTTATTGAAATTTATTAGGTGATCTTATCTAACATTTATTAAATAAATATTTATTGAAATTGGTTTACTGGGTGGGAAGGTGTTAAGGCAAAGAAAAAAAGGTAGTAAACTAGTTTTAGGCTAAATCTGGGTAATGTTTTTATTTTAAAGTAAAAATTTATATAAAAACAATACTAAGTATCTGACTTAAACAGCTTTTAGTTATTAATAATTTTTTGCACCTTTTATTTAAACTTAACCATAAATTTATTTTATAGGATGAACATAAAATTGACATAAAGGATTTGCTAATAAGGCTGGAAACAAGTGTAGAGAAAGGGCTGAGTTCAAGTGTTGCTGCTAGAAATTTAGATCGTGATGGCTTAAATACTCTTCAAGGTATTAAAGGCACACCTGAGTGGATCAAATTTGGAAGGCAAATGATAAGTGGTTTTGCATTGCTTTTGTGGGCTGGTGCTTTACTATGTTATATTGTCACCATTATTCGATTTACAACTGAACCAAATCCAGTATATGACGAAGTTTACTTGGGCACTGTTTTGGTAGTTGTTGTTGTTTTAACTGGCATTTTTTCTTATTATCAGGTAAAATATAAGAGATTTATTTTGTTATTTCCATTATTTGTCTCCAACTATTATACAAATTACCATTTGTTCAAGTTGGTTATTTTTTTTTAAGTTCAAGATGTTTGTTAACTACCTTATATTATTATAAGTTCAACCAAACCTGATCAAAAGTGTCTTAAAAAAAAAATTAAAGTTAACGAAATTCTGCTCAGTTAAGATTGCTAAAGTGTTATTATATATATATATATATATATATATATATATATATATATATATATATATATATATATATATATATATATATATATATATATATATATATATATATATATATATATATATATATATATATATATATTTATATATATATATATATATATATATATATATATATATATATATATATATATATATATATATATATATATATATATATATATACATCCTCAGGAAAGTTTTTAAGAGAAGGTGGGGTGGGGCAAAATATTTTTAGTATATATATTTTTCCCTGCTGTTTAATACATTAAAATCAAGAAATATATACAATGAAGAAATAAAATAAAAATAATTTTGTAGAACAAAGAAGAGAGTACCAATTTGAAACATACGGATAGGATGCTGTAGTAAATAATGGCGCACTATAGCAGCAAAATTTTTATTGACTCAAATGTATATAGTAAATGTAGTATGCACAAAATCTTTCAACATTTATTTAAAATCAAGTTTAATTTTTAAACAAGAATTTAAATCGTCTGTTATCAATACCAAATATAGCAACAATTTTATTTATTAAGTCTTTTTGTTGCAGTTTATTTTGTCTCTGTGTACGCTTTACATGCACAAACCAGACAGACAGTCATTTGACATTGTTGACCTTTTTTTTACACAACGTATTATGCTAAATGATCACTTCACTGTACATGTTGTTGCTGTTAAAGTTAACACTAGTAAGGCATACCTGATACTTGAATTAAATTGTATAAAAGGTAATAAGTTGATGAAATCTTAGCTATTATTGTATTCTCAAACAAATCGAAAATAAAACCAACTCAGAGCCTCAGTTTCAAAATTATCTATACCTTATTAGTTGTATAGATTTTTTCTTTGAAATGTAAGGTTCAGTTTGCACTACCTAGACGGATGCAGAAAAAGTTAAATTGTACTTTTAAAAAAAAAAAAAGTTAAATTGTATTGTTTACTTCACAAAGTTGACTCTCCAAAGAGCCAATTAGAGAATGTAAGTATAGAATATAAATTGTTTGTCTGAAAAATAACCTCAACACTTATGTTTTCTCGATCACTTTGATGCTTTATTTTCAAAATTATCAGTTCAATATCTTCTGCGCAAGTTGGACTTTTTTCACACAAAAAATCCATGAAACAGTTACTGGACTTACTTCTTACATTGAGTAGTTTTTGAACTTGCAGTTGGAATTCTGGAAGATTAATTAAATCAGC